ACTAATTAATTAACAAACTAACCTTTTTTTTCATAAAAATCAGAAAACCCAAAAAATAATATTTATTAACTTCACTATTTTTATTTTTGTAATTAAACCATTAACCAATTAATTTAGTTTTTAATTAGGTATAATCTTAACATTTTTTGCAATAAATAAAAATTGATTTAGAATTAGGGTTTTGACATATTTTTTAACCTTTCTAATTTTATTTTCTTAACTAAAATAAAACTCAAAAATATTTTCTTTTTTCTATTAATTAATTCCATTACTAATTTAGCTTTAATTCTTAATTCAAAAAAGACCAAAATATGTTTTATTTGAAAAAAGGGTCAAAACCCTAAAGGACAATTTGATTTAACTTTTCTCGCGCATATTATTTTGATCTATATATTGTAATTGCTCCGAGGATGTAATAGTTTTAACTTAGGATTTATTTACCGCTTTTATTTACTTTTTGCATTTAATTTTTAAGGGTTTGTTTTTGGCGATGTAAATACCCGACGCCTTGTAATAGCTTAGTTTTATTTTCCGCAATTTATTTTCCGCAACCATTAATCGCTAGATGTATGAATAATAGGCTATGCGTGACAAGATCTATCTTAACTTAAAATCAACAGTAGCTCACCATGACATGTAAAGATAATATAACTTAAAATTGACACACTTGCACATGCCACTCCTAGGGTACGCCTCACTTGGTTGCCTCAACGTGGTCATTGAGTATAGGAAGTTTTAGAGGTCGCCCTCTTGTCCAAAGATCATAGTTGCCTCGAAACGGTTGCCTCGGATAAAATGATCTAAGTCATTAGGGTTAGCGCTAAGGCGTCCTAACATTGCTTTAGTGACCACACGTCCCTTAAATCGAATTGACCCGAAAACTCCAACGACGATGCTACCTACTCCTCAATAGTGGGATAGCATTGTCTAAAGGACATTTGCACAGTTTAGTTCCTTTTTGAGTAGGTAGATGTTCTTAAGTACTTGCTCCTTTTAAAAACAAAATAAAACTTTTCACACTTACACTTTTCGAACAAAGTTTTCAAAAACACTTCATACACTCTTGAGGACAGAAGCAAGAGTTAAATTGAAGTTTCAAACAAAACTCTTTTCAAAACCCACAATCACAAAGAAAAGCAAAATTTTGAAAACATAGTGAGCAAGTACCTAAGAGCCCGTGGATAACCACGGATAGAAAGGGTGCTAACACCTTCCCTTTTTATAATCTACCTCCCAAACCCGAGAAACATCTCGAAAAGGAATTTTTCTGTGCTTTTGTCCTTTCCTTGTTGGATAAAATAAAAGACGGTGGCAACTCTTGCTTACCGCGACATTTTGCGAAAACAAACGCAAACGCGAACCAGCATTCCAAAACAGTTAGTTCTATTCCCACTTATCACAGAACTGGCGACTTTGTTGGGGAATACTTATAAGTGAGGTGTACCTTAGGATTATATCACTTGTGTTTTCAATTGTATGCTTTGTATGCTTTAAATTTTGTGGGCTTGTATTGGAGTTCTATAGATCCTAACCCAGATCTGGGGGTACCCTTTTTAGGTAAGTAGCAATAAACTGTGAGGGATATGTCCGGAGTAGACCGACACGGATGAAGCAGTAGCTACGTTGGTGTGACACCTTGGTCTGTACCGATATCCCTTATGTTGGAACAAGGAGAATATGGGTCTTCTGAGGAGTCATTAAGCACCAACTGACCTTAGAACCTTAAATTGACCAACTTGGCCATAGAACAGTAGCAGTATGCTATACTCATTGAGACTAAACTCTCGCGATGGTTCCGGCCGTAAGAAAAGGTTGCTAAACTGGAATTATGACCGATTGAGGGTAGTCAGTGATATTGAGATCCTCTAGAACCCGGTTACTATTTTTTAGGACAGGTCTTAACCAACTGAAACTGAAAGAGGGTAGTACCTGTTGTACCCCAAATTTTGACCTAAGATACCGTCTTCCATCTGCATTATTCGCATTGCAAGGGTTTTCACATATTTTATCAAAGTTTCAAAGCAGTTTAAAAATTCACAACTTTTTCGAGTCGGGAGCTGTTTATTTGTTGAACGCTAAATTTATTAACTGATCAAAACTTAAACAATGTTCATTAATTATTTATTATCTTAAATTCAATAATTGGAATTTATTTTCGATTATTACGTAATTTAAAGATTTATAAATAATAAAAAGATTATTTGAGAAAAGGTTTATTAATTGATCAAATAATGTTTATTAATTATTCATTATCCTAAATTTAAATAATGGGAACCTGTTTTCCGTTATTATATAATTTGAAGGTTTATGAATAATGAAATAAACATTTGAAAATGAGTATATTAATTGATCAAGCAATGTTTATTTGATTATTTATTGTTCTAAATTTAAATAGCTGAAATTCTATTTTTTCAAGTTATTATAATTTAGAAGAATTAAAAATAATAATAAAGTAAATGATTGCAGTTATTAATTGATCAATGATATTTATTTATTTGTTTATCATTCTGAATTTAAATGATTAGATTTGATTTTTAGTCATTATATAATTTAAAGAATTATAAACAATAAATAAATAATTGGAAAGAAAAAGAATTAATTGAGAAATAATAGAATTTTTATTCACTTTATTCTATTTATTACAATTGTCATTTAAATATTTGTGTTATTACAAAATATTTATAAAGGCAATTACACAAATGCTTAAAGTAAAATAAAAAGCTATTTTTTAAATTCTAATTCTAAATCTTCCATCCAATGCTCTTGTTTGCCCATTTAATTTTACCTGCGAAAACGATTAAAAGAAAAGTCAGAATTGAATAAATAATTAAAATGCAGAAAATAAATTTAATGTTCATCATTAAAAGCAAACGGCCGGAATCAGTTTGCCCTTTTCGCAAATCGCGGGATTTCTCCCGGTTCACAAAAAGGGAGGAATTTTTTATGAATGCATAATTAAAAAAAAAGCACATTTCAAAATCAATTGCATTTTTATCAAAAAAACCCACTGCATATTTCAAATATGCATAAATTCAATTTTGGTCAAAGCTGCATAAACCATAAAAAACAGCATATGCAAGTTCACATAACAACAAGCAACGTTAACCTGCAACCACATAGGAGAGATATGCAAGACAAAAGAAAATGCAATTCCAACAATATGCAATTTCAAACATGTGCAGTCTTAAAACTATGAATGCAAGCAATATGTTTCCTTTTTTTCATCATATTCCAGCCTGTTTGCTTTTTCAGACAGCAGTACAAGATATCACATTCATGTATCATTTATGTACTTGAGGTAGAGAGAAGAAGAGGTTCAGTTTTGCAGGTTTTGATTTAAGCATGAAATGGGAATAAAGTCAACCATATGTAGCAGCATATGTGCAGAACATCAGGAAAATATATTAAGATACTCAAACCTGAGCCATGACAAAAAAGGAGGCAACGGCTATGAGAAGGGAACCCCTTCAAAAGGAAGTCTAAGCTTGCATATCTCTACAAAAAAAAACATCACTGCATAGTCCACTACATAACCTGCATACTACACAAAACTACCAAGCAAACCATTTTCCAAACAGAACCTACAATCAAAACCATTCAAAACCGTAACACAAGGCAAAAATCACATAACCTGCATCAAAACTATTCAAAACCATAGTCCATGGCACAACTTGCATACTGCATCAGAACCATTTTTCAAGCATACTGCATCAGAACCATTTTTCAAACATATTGCCAAACCATTCAAAAACCACATAACAAGCATATTGCTAAACTTGCATATTGCTAACCGGCATATTGCTAAACCTGCTTCATATAACCCGCTTCATATAACCTGCATACGGTATCAAAACCTTAGACAAAACAGTATAATCCAAAACCACCAAAAAACCATTTATTCATATTCCAACCAGTTTTTAGACGAAGAAGAAGAGAAGAATTAGTAGCAGAAAGCAAAGAGCGAGAAGTCTTCGGAGCTTACCTGACTTCGCCGGAATTGTACTGTCGGACTAGCTCCGACCATGTGAGTTTCTTCAGTTTTTCGCACAAATCTTTATACCGTTGTGTTGCCTTTGTCTCACTTAATAATCCTCTCTCAATTTCCTGAAATCATGTAAAATGGCCATTTAATATCATTGCGAATCATCAATACATTAAATCCCTATTTTAACACAGGCAATAATTTGATCGATAAATTTCAAGATTCATAATGTTGCAAAACCAACGCAATCATATAACATACTATTAATTTAAAGCCAATTTGAGGTAATGTAGAAAATTCACAAACCTTTTTCAACTACCCAATTCGACTTTACGATTCATCACTATCATATTTCTAGAGGGAGTTGGAGGGATTCTATTCGTGTTCGGCAGCACATTTGGATCCTTTCTTTTGCTTTCGCATTTGGCGCTTACTACTATTCCCAGGAAATAGTTCAGGAAGAAGACGACCCCTAAAACAAAACCAAAAAAAAACAAAAGCAGTTTAGAAATTAGAAAGATATGTATCTGTTTACTATGAACAGGCTGTTGAATCGCTGTGTTGCCGGGTTTTGGAATAGTTAGTTAAGCCTTTTTTACAATGTTGTTTTTTTTGTTAATTGACGCATAACTTGATTATGGATGTACCTGAGGTTTGTTCACAATTCTGTTGCAATTGCGACTAAGAATAGCTATTAGCAAAAGATTTGGTAAAAAACAACAAGAACAAATAACAACTAACCGTGCTAACAGATCGTTTTCCTCTTCCTCTTCGTGTAGCTTCCTCTTCGCTTCCCTTCTTTACCTCCATCAATTTTCACCTTCTCTCTGCAATTATCACGATCACAAATCGCACAGTTTTCCTCAAGGATCTTCATTGCTCCCTGTAATTAATACGGTATCAAGTTAATACAAGACCAACCACGGACACGTAAGCGGAAACGCGAAAATCAGAGGAGGAGAAACCCTTTGTCACACACACAGAAACACACTCTGCGAAGTAATCAAAGCAGGTAACAATGGGAGATCGAAGTAACGGTGACGTTCTGATGCTGGAGGCTCCACCGTCTTACGGTAGCAGGTCAAGCAATTCCGACGCCGAAATCATCGACGCACTGCCTTACATTGACGACGACTACAGCGACCCTAGGGTCAAATTCGAAGTCGACCGTCTCGTCGAAGAAGAGATGCGCCGGAGCTCCAAGAAACCCGCTGATTTCCTCAAAGATTTCCCACCTCTTCCCACTTTCAATTTTCAGGAGTATCCAATGATTGGTAGAGAGTATGAGCGTGTGAGAGCCGGTAGGCCTCCAATTTCACTTGATAGGTCCAGATATGAGTTGGAACTGCCACCGATCAATAAAAGGAACGATGAAACTGCTTGGAAACTAGCTCTTCAAAGAGCTCAGCGACTACTTCAATATCAGACAATGAGGATGGAAAATTTGGATTTGTTGTTGAAATATGGTCCTGATGCCTGGAACAGCACAACCTGCGATTGGAAGTATACTTGTCAAGAATGCAGAAATTAGCTCAGGAACAAAATGATAAGATTGAAAAAGTCAACCGTGAAGGAGATCAAGCTTTGATGACGGAGTGGATTGTGAAGGAGATCGGAACGAGAAGGAAGAAAGAGATCCGGCGGCGGCCATGGCATCAGCGTTCCAAGGGTTTCTTTTCGTTACAGCATTGGTGTTTCTTTCTTGAGTCTGGGTCTTCCAACGACCCGGCCCATTTCCCTTAACCCAGCTTTTTTTTTCTTAAGCCCATCTTTTGTATTTCTCTTTAGATTAATTCTATTTCTTTTTAGCTAACTATATAATTTAGATTAATTAGTTTTCCTAGAAATAAACATAATTTTAAATAGATAATTTTAACATTTTATCCAAATCTCTTTTAATCTAAGTTTAGGTTTATTTAATAACTTTAGTCTTCCTTATTTTAATTAGATATTTGACTTGTAAGTTTTATTTAATTTGAAAATATTTAATATCTCTAAAAACCTATGAAAGTAAAAAATGAGAAAACTAAAAGACATGCTATTTTTCCTTTAATTTATTCCCCTCGTTTTGATTAAATACTAATACAAAAAAGACAGAAAAAATAAAAACATATAAAACCTTAAAAAACATTTCTATTAATTCTCGTTATTTTTTATCTATGTTAAAATGCGTAACAAATTAAAACATTTTTCTCTTCATATATTAAACCAAAATCATATAAAAATGCATGTTCACACTTAATTGTTGTACGTCATTATCCGCATAATTTTCTGTCAATTATTTCATCGTACTTGATTATTCTGTTTGTGCCAATCCAAAGGGAATTGTCTAATTTTTGACTGACTTCATGTCCTCAAAAACGATCGAGCGAATACTCTCATTCATTAAAAGCTTAGGGTAATTTTTCCTCAAACATTCACCCTTTTCAAGACCTATACCTTTTAAGCAAAAACTTCGACATTAGGTCATCGTATCTTCAAAAACCCGTCCATATCCCTTTTCGGCCAAAACGATTTATTTTCAATCAAGCGATCAATTTTAAATAAAACAGATATTTCAAAAGGTTCCTATAGAGTACTATAGATGCATTGGGTGCTAATACCTTCCCATTGTATAACCAACCCCCGAACCATAAGATCTCTTTTCAAAAACGCCTTGTATTCTCATTACTTTTAAAAAGTATTTACATTGCATATTCAGGGTTTTATTTCGCTCTTTTCCCTTTTCCTTTGGAAATAATAAAGCGCGGTGGCGACTCTTGCTTTTGTGAGACGAATTAATCGATAATTCGATCTCCGATTTACCCCGCTACATTTTTTATCGCTACAGTACCTAAGCTTCATGCCAGCCTGAAATCTAAGGGCTCTTTTGTGTGACTTGTGTGACTTGTGTGCCTTTACCATGTTTGCCTCTTGTGAATACTTGTGGTGTGCCTTTACCGTGACATTATAACATCATAACATTGCATACATCCTGCATAAGGACTAACCCATTTCAAAGACAAGAGGGTTTCATCTTTGCTCTGTTTTGTAGGACCTCATGATGCCCATGCGTAGGAATACTATCCGGCTCAACTTTGTTCAAGTACCTACTTTGCTTAAAGAGTTGGTTGTCATGATTCCAGATACTACTTCCTTCATCAGGAGGCATGGTTCTCTTCTCAGTTTAGTCACCTCAAAGTTGGACAAACAAATGATGAGTGTCCTGGTCCAGTTTTATGATCCCATATATCATTGCTTCACCTTTCAAGACTTCCAACTGGTTCCTACCCTGGAAGAGTTCTCTGAATTGCTTGGTATCTCTGTTTTGGAGCAGACTCCATTTAATGGTTGGGAAAAGACTCTTAGGCCTGAAGAGATTGCTGCAGCCCTTCACTTGACCAAAGAGGAGGTAATGGCCAACTGGGAGACTAGAAGTGGAGCTAAGGGTTTTTTGGCTAAGTTTCTGGTCGACAAAACTAATTGTTTCTGGGATGACTTAGACTTCAAAGCGTACGAGGACATTTTGGCTCTCTTAATCTATGGTCTGGTATTGTTTCCAAATCCTGACACTTTTGTCAATGTTAATGCCATAAAGATATTCATCTCCCGGAACCCTGTACCCACTCTCTTGGGTGACATGCTTCATCATCTCCATGCTCGTACTGCCCGAAAGCGGGGAACTTTGATGTGATGTGCTCCTTTATTGTCGAGGTGGTTTATTTTGCACCTCCCTAAGTCTGCACTGAAGAACGAAGAAGGAACGGGCTGGGCTTATAGGGTAATGTCTCTTACTAATAATGACATTATCTGGACTCTCAAAAGCTTGGATGAGGTGACTGTCATTGATCGTTGTGGAGAGTATCCTAATGTTCCATTGATCGGAACCCATGGAGGAATTTCTTATAACCCATGTTTAGCTCTCCGTCAGTTTGGAAGAGCCAGAAGAGAAGGGCCTCATGAGATGTTGATGCCTCATATCATCTTTGATTTTCAGGGAGATAGCGACGAGCTGCGTCGTAGATTCATCAGGGCTTGGGATAGAATTCACCAATCTGACCCACATGAGTTGGGACCAAAGACTTCTCTTCCAAAGGAGCCATACCTCAGATGGGTCCGCATCCATGCCCAGAGGTTAGGTATGCCATACGAAGCTATCAAGCCTATTACTCTTGAAGTTGCTGATAAATACGGGGTTCCTCCAACTATTCTCCATCCTCATACGACCACTGATATTGGCACACTAAAGAGGTCTTGGACGCAACTGTGGGAAGAACGGGATTCTTATCGGGAGAGGTTCAATGAACAAGAACAGAAGATCCAGAAGCTGACCAAACAACTGGAGAACGAGCGGATCCTAAATGATTATATCCGCACTGAGAAGAAGAGGCCATGGGAGCATTGATGGACCTTTGATGATTTCTTTTACAATTTTTTATTTACTTTTCAGTATTTCCATTCTTGTAACGCTTAAGGGCAATTTGTTGAACAATTTAAATTCTGAAGTTAAATCTAATAAAGTGTGTTTCCTTTCTTGTTTACAAATTTGAATCCCGATTGTCTTTGAAATCATAAATCATACGCATTTCATCTCATGCACTTCATAAACAGGTACCCTTTTACAGGCTTCTTATCTTCTTCGCTGTTTATTTCAGCAATCATCATGTCTACTGAACCTTCCACTGAGCAAGCTATCAAGGCCCTCCAGGCCCAGAATGCCCAATTTCAAGAGTTGGTCATGAGCCTAGATAACGGTCAGCAGGACCTGAAGACCCTGATTCTGAAAGAGAGGAAGAAGAAGAAGAAGAGGACCGTCCTGTTCAACACCGGACGCAGGTTTGGAAACGGGCTGCAGAATGAAGTTGATCTGGCCACCTCATTTGGGGGGAAAGATAGTCCACAAGAAAGGAGGGCTCCTAGCCCTATGGTCTCCGACAACGAGACGGACTATGATGAAGAACAATATCCTCCTGCTGAGGATAAGTACAAACAGCTGGGGGACCGTCTGAGCGCCATGGAAATACAGAAGGTGCCCGGTCTGGACTTCGGAGATCTAGGTCTATCCTCTGGGGTGGTGATTCCCCATAAGTTCAAGTCACCTGCCTTTGCCAAGTATGACGGAGTGTCCTGTCCAAAGCTGCACCTCCAATCATATGTGAGGAAGATCCAACCTTACACTGCTGATAAGAACTTGTGGATCCATTTATTTCAAGACAGTCTCTTAGGGACTTTGCTTGAGTGGTTCTATCAGCTGGATGGAGCCAGTATCCGTAGCTGGGAAGATTTGGCTACTGCATTCTATAGGCAGTATCAGTATAACTCCGGCCTCGCTCCTACGCGTACCCAACTCCAGGGTATGTCAATAGGGACGGGTGAAGGATTTAAAGAGTATGCTCAAAAATGGAGAGACCTTGCCGGAAGGGTGCAACCACCTTTAGCTGATCGTGAACTTGTTGATATGTTTTTGGGGACCCTGTCTGGTCCATTCTTTAACCATTTGATTGGAAACTCTTCAGCCGGGTTTACAGACCTTATCTTGACTAGTGAGAGGATTGAAGCTGGTATTAAGGTCGGGAAGATACAGAAGGGTGCTTCCTCGGGCACCGAGAAGAAGCCGTTTAAGAAAGAATCCAGTGTTGTCTACGGTTCAAGAAGACAGAATAGATCTGAACACCGCCAAGATGTCAACACGGTTGTTATTTCAAAACCTGCCGGTGCTCCTCAGCATCACAACCAACAAAGGGGCGAGAGACCTCGAAGTCAATTCACTCGTCTTAGCATGACTTTGTCTCAGATGTTGCCACAGTTGCTGAATGCCAATCTGGTGACTCTAAAAGAAGCTCCTAAGATTTTAAATACAACATCACCAAAGTATAACCCTAACGCTCGCTGCGCTTATCACTCTGACAGCCCGGGGCATAATACGGATGATTGTTGGGCTTTGAAGAATAAGGTTCAGTACCTAATCGATGCAAAGGTGATTGAGTTTGAGGCACCCGAGAGGCCTAATGTTGTAACAGCCCCCATGCCCAAGCATGGAGTGAATGTTGTAGAGGAAGACTTGTTTGTGGTTTTTGTGGATGATGTTGTTACCCCTATGATGACTGTCAAGAAGAACCTGTTGCTAGCCGGTTTATTTCTGGGTTGTGGTGAAGGTTGCCATAGGTGTTCTGTTTTACCTACTGGTTGCCCATCTTTGAAGTCAAGTATCCAAAACCTGATGGATAGCAAAGAAATCATGTTTGAGAAGACTGTTGTTCCATCCGCTCCGACTGAAGAAGTTTCCATCATTACCATTTTCAACAATTCTCCCAACGCTCCCTCGAGGAAGCCTGTTAGAATTACGCCTGTTCCGAAGATTGCACCCATAATCATCACTGTTCCGGGGCCCATCCCCTACACCTCTGACAAAGTTGTCCCTTGGCACTATGGGGCAGATGTTTATGTTCTTGGAGTTAAGCAAGAGTTTAATGTTGATACCGACGTCAGCAACATTACTGGACCTGCTAAAGTCAACCGCAGCAGTAGACTTTTCTGACCTGATATTGCTCC